CCAGCAATGGAAAGCAGCCATCTCAGGAATCAGTCAGCCACTGTAAACAGTGTTTATTTATTTGAGCATTTATTCATTTGATGCATATACCTTTCCATTAGTGTAAGCACTACTCTGCATGGTTTACAGGTTAAAACCCACAAGACCCCACATGTAGTAATAATTATGCCTTAGATTAACTTCAGTGGCCACAATAAGGCCACTGCATGAAGTAGCTCAGCTGGCCCCTCTTTTCATCTCTACCTCACCAAGGAGTTCCCCTAGCTCCCAAATGAGGATGTTGTTGGCCTATAGCTGAGCAGACCTAGGCCACAGGAATAAAACACAGGACACCCAACTCATTGGAAGAAAAAAGGGCACAACTATATTGGCTACAGCTGTGATTCCCAATAGCCCAGGTATTCTTGGACTGCAATGCCTGGAAACCCCAGCCAGCACAGCCGGCGGTGAGGACTTCTGGGAACTTCAGGCCAAGAACACTTGGGTTAGCCATGGTTGGGAACCACTGGGTTACAGCAACAGCTTCCCTGGCCCACCATTGGAGATGGATTCCGTTCATCAGGAGACCTCAATGCTCCCCTATGCAATCCATTGTTTCCTCCAGATGCCAGCTGGGGAATAATAACCCTAGAATGGCAGTCCAGGGGATACCACATGAGCTTACAACACTCTGGGAATGCAAGTACTGTCTACCACCTTACAACCACTATGGCTCAACTCCTGCCAAAGAACATCAGCAGCAACCAGTGGCTGCCCTGATAACCCCTAACCAAATGTCCTGTTCTCAGTTTGAGACATGCACCCCATCTGCACGGAACAAGGCATCCATCTCAAGCAACTATCTGGGTGTTTGATCTAATTACCACCCTGTACTGCCACCAGCTGACTGACCACCCTGGTCACTTTTTGATGAGAAATGTCCACTTTCTGCGGGTTCTGGGAGCCCCCACCACACCTGTCTCCTCTCAAGGAGGCCCGGCCACATAATCCAGATGTTGTGATAACAATCAATTCCAAGTCTGCCTTTATGTTAAGTCCAGTCCCTTGTGAGCAGTAAGGTTGCTCTCCCCAAGCTGAAACAACAGCACCTCTGGTGGCCCTTGCAGGTCAATTGACACCACAGGAAAGGCATTGACTGGTCCCACCACATGCCTCTTCATTCCGTCCAGATGACGTGCCCTGCATTGACCAATCCAAGATGCCACCCTCTGCCTGTGATTGCTGCATGTTGTCCTGCCCAGTAGATAATGCTGTGCCCAACAAACCGGACTTCTTTCAAAGGACCTGTTGAAAGAACTAACCGAATGGAAACCATCAGGACTGCAGCTAAGCCCACAAAGCTGAGTGCTTCAGAAAACAGCCTATTGCCTGTTGTGAGAAAGAGACTGAACTAATCAGTGTGCCATCACCCCCAGCCCCCAAACCTGACGGGTTGGCTGAAGAAAACCTTGCATGAACAGCCTGGAGGGCAGGATGGACTGATTTGAATACAGGAACTCTGGACTGTTTGGGGAGGGAAAAACCATTGGAAGAGACCGTTTTTGGCCAGTGAGAAGGGGAATAAAAGGGGGGAAGGGGCGGAAACCGTTCAGACAGTTGCTGAGGAGTGCTGGGGAAAGGAAGAAAATGGAAGGAGATTGGATAGAAATAATAAAATAGGATCCATGGGCAGTTGAATGGATCCCTTTTAAGGTACTGAGAGAAGTTGCTGAAAGAGAGTGGAGGAGTAAGAAGGTGTGGAAACCTTCTTATTGGGAAGAAAGAGCAGAGAGGGAAAGCAGGAACAAGGAACAAGAGCGTCGAGAGAGCGAAACACAGAATAGAGAAAACGGGCATGCCTAACTTTTCCTGGGATTAGTCTTAGGAGGAGATCATTCCCCCCACAAATACATAGTGTCCTGGGCAAGAAGGTTTGGGAGCCAAATATAGGCATATCATGGCGAGATCCAGGCATGGAGTTCAGCTGTAGCTATCTATGGAGCCAATTCGTTATTACCTTTTTCAAGTTCAGTTAAAACCGAAGAAGGGGACATTGATGTTTTAAAGAAGGGATATTCAATACCTATAGACAATGTTTTAAATACCAAGTTGACAAACATTTCTACTACATTTAATAAACCTGTTGAATTTAAACTCGAAGCTATGATTGGGATTTGAATGAAGGAACCAGGTTGGAAACAGGAGGCAGCTCACAAAATCTTCACAGTGACACCCAACATGGGGTTCGAACCCATGATCCTGGAATTAAGAGTCCCATGTGAGCCCCTTCCCATTTTCAACCAGATTCCTTCATTCAAATCACATATAGTTTTTAACTAGTTTATGCAGGAATTACTGATCTCATTCTGGGTTGTGAATCATACTGTATTTTGAAAAATTATTGTTCAGACTTTTTTGTTCTGTCTTCTGATACTATGAAATACCTTTTCCATGTTATTTTTCTATGTAATTTTTAAAAAGCTTTACATGAGAAAGCAGCACCCCAGCAAACCTTAGTCACGATGCTTTGTTTTACATGTCCCTTCCACTCCTGTACATCATGCCCACCAAAGTGGGGAGCTTTTTTTGTTTTGTTGTCAATAAATGGCTTGTGGAAGGAGAGAGCTTGTGGAGAAATGAATGCTGCCACTTACAGAAATGCCCCTGTCTTTACAACAGTGTTTGTGGCGTGGGGAACCCTAACTGAATTTTCCTGTTAAGAAAAGTTGCAGCCTCTAGAGGCAGCAAGAAAAGCACAATTTGGCAACAAATAGGTTGGACCACTTCGAATCAGCCTTGTACGTCATGCAGAGAGTAAAAATAATTTGAAGCAGAGCAAATTTCATGGTATCTGAACATAGCCTTTTATATAGCACCCAATAGTGCTAAAGCAAATTCTGGGCAGTTTACAACATGATTATGCCAACAGCACTTTGTCCCCCTGTTGGTAGTGAAGAGAAGAGGGTATCCGGTAGACCACCTTGACTGCTGTCATTGGTGTTGTGAGCATTCAGGCTGCCCTTTGCTGTGTAAAACTTGGCATCCTTTTTCCTTCTGGCAACACGGGCATGACGTTGTGCAGCAATATTGGTCTGTTTCCTGTCTTTTTGAAACATGAGTACAGAAGCACAACGTCCCACATTCAGAAACATTTTGAGAACTGAATTCTGTATTTATTGCTATCATGCTGTTCTTGAAGGGATTCTGTTTAAACAGACACACCTGCTCATTGAGTTCATACAAACAGAGATTATCCCCTCACTACCCATCCCTGCCTCCAGAAACAAATAAAAAGCAAACAAATAACAAAATCAACCTAATGATTAAATGATGGCAATTATCTAAGACAGAAAAAATGATTAAGCCAATTGGTCAAATTACTACCTAAGGGGAGTAATGTCCTTAACGGCTTCTTTGAACAGTTACATGTTCACTAATTTTTTTTTTTTAAAGTCTGGAGGGAGCAGGCCTGCCAAATCTCTAGTCAGAGACCATTCCAGAATGACAGGGCCACCACAGAGAAGGCCCAGTTCTTAGTGGAAACCCTCATCGCCTCTCTTGGCATGGCCACTTGTAACAACAAGGTCTGGGGGTGGGGTGGGGGCTTTGCTTAAAAAAAAAACAGAAAGATGAATTCTTAAATCAAATATCCCTATAGCTATGGGGATTCTCCATGTTTACTAGAGAAAGGCATTTTCCACTCTAAAGGCATATGTGCCCTCTGGAAGGATGAGGAACACAAAGGAACCCCCGGTGCCATCAATCTTTAAGGTAAGTCAATGTTGAACTAACGAGACTCAGAATTTATTGCAAATTATTCACTTTACTATATCATTACAATGTTCTCCATCCAGAGGAACTGTTAGGGGAATTAGTTAAAATCCACCACACCATTAGCACACTTTGAGCCTTTCTTCCTTTATCTCCTTTGCTACTTTATGCACTCATTGCAACTGTAGCTGCCATATCAACAGACTCTGCTGGATCAGAATCAAATCAGCCCATCAATCTGGTCCCCTTTCTTCAACACCTCCTGGCAGCTCATCGCTTGGTTTTGGTCTTCTAGGGCTCCTCCTCTTCTTCCAAGCTAAGCTCCTTGAAGTAGTTTGAAGTGTAGACCGCTAAAGGGGGATTCCATCTGGCCTCCACAAAACCAGCATATATGGTGGAGTCCAGCTCATCTCCTCTCCACTCAGGAGTATCAGCCCAGTCCTCAGTCTCACTTTTTTCCTTGTCTTTTCTGCCAACCACGGCCAGATCCTCCTCAGTCACTTACTGTATTTTTCTATGTATAAGACGTCCCATGTATAAGATGCCCTCCACTTTTCTAATCCAAAATTAAGAAATCTAAGTGGGGCTTAGCAAGTGTAGGGGAAAAGGGATCAAAGCGCTGCAGGATCGCTTTGATCCCTGCTTTCCCCTCCACTTGTTTTTGTTCTCTCCTCAGCTTACTTCCGTGTATAAGACGACCCTCCATTTTTAGTCTAAAGATTTTAGACAAAAGTATGGTCTTATACCTGGAAAAATATGGTAAGTCTTCTCAGCTGGAGATCCTTTTGACAGGCCTCTTCCTACTTTTTTCCTCTTCCGTCACATCTGTGTCTCTCGATCTTCCATATTCCAGGGCAGCATTCAACTGCGGGTAATGGCCGGGAGACGAGAACAACCTCATAGCTGCCAAATGGCTTTGGCAGGGATTCGTGGAACCCATAGTGGGTTCCCCTCTCATGAGGGGAACAGAGGGAGAACCCTCATGAGAGCTCAGGCTCACCCATCACAGGCATTCAAGGTGACTATAGCATGCTCTCATGTTGAACGTCAGCAGCAAGTAGTTTAAAAAGATGGGCATGACAAACACATCTTCATCTGAAGGCATCATGTGGTCTGGCTGTAGCTTTTCGCATTAAGGATGCCCAGGTTTTTTGCTACCTACTAACGAACAGCTCGGCAACAACCTCTTGAGTGTACACATCCCACACAACAGTAAGGTTGAAACAAGAACTTGCATAGATACAAGAGCATGTGTGTGTTACAAAAAAAGTATATAAAATTTATTTATGTAGTGCTCTTCTTCAGAAATTCCATTCCATAACCCTGCAAGAGTGACAGTGAAGCAGAATAATGAACATTTTGCATTTCTCAAAATGTGTGCATGTGAGTTTGATATATCTATAGATTGTACAAAAACTATAGAATACATACATATGTGTTTACATTAGTGTCTATATTTGACATTCAGAACAGACTTAAATCTAAGTGCCTCTAACAACTAATGTATACCAACTTCCCATAAAAAGACTCCCTCTTAATTTTTTTTCTTTCTTTTTTTATGACATGGACTTGTGCCTTTAATTGCAACCAGACACCATGTGGTAATATATATCAGGTACAGGTTTTCCTGGCACACAAAGGGATATGTTATGGTTAACAGTCTCAATTGCTTAATTTCTGCCCATCAGACTTCTAAAGATTAAGGAATAGGGTCAATTTATTATTATTGTTATAAAAATAGGGAGCCCTACTAATGAACATGTTTATGACATAGTATTTATTGGCTGTTTCACATACCAGCTGGTCCTTCATTCACTGGCATCCAGTGATGGCTGATGCCAGAAACAGAACTTTCCTTTCACCTTGTGATAACCTGAGTGGTAGACTATTTAACATTCATTGACTGAAACAATTCAGAGTTTTAATCCAAAGAAAGAGATCAAATGTTATATGTGTATGTGTGAATATGCTGTAAACCTTGGTGGCACCCCTTTCTAAATGTAAACTCCCTGTTATTAAAGGGAATCTGGTGTGTGCCAAGTTTGCCACTTATGCAATATTAACAAGGGTGGTGATTAAAACCCAATCCTGACACAGTGGAGGATTGTGACTACCTCAGAAATGGCAACTCATGGTGATCAACCCAATGATTCTATGTTACCTGTCTGAATCGCTCCCTTTCCTACTATAATTTTGTCTTTGCCATTTTTATGGCAAAGACAAGATTGTTGCTTATGGGATAGCACAGCTGGTCTCTCTCTGGTATACCTATTTATCCTTCAGTAGGTCAGGATTTGTTTTGCACCTAGTAACTAGACAAGTTAAAAATGAGCCATACAGCCATTATTTTGGTTCTCTTTATGTATGGAAACAGCAGGGTGGAATCTGTGCCCTAATTAGTGGTGACAATCCCCTCTCAGGAAATTTTAGCAGATCAAGATGCTATCCTGATTATTCAATTCCTAAGATTCAAGTGCAGACTGACCAGGATGGATAGACTGTAGATGCAGGTCTGTTGCCCTGTAGCACCACTATTGCCCTTCGCTGAGCTGTTAATGCATATAGGACCCAGTGGGAGATAAGAGATGCAAGGGAAATACAGAAATTTGGATTAACAACTCCTAAATGTCAATATATTGTGCCTCCGTCTACATCACATTCTTGAAACAAGGAGAGTTTACTTTATTCCTATTGGCACATGTCTTCAGGCACATATACTTCACAAGTGATGGGTCAGTAGGATTCTACCCACCCTGCTGCCAATCACTTATGCATCTATGTGCAAAAGTGTCACTGAAGTGCATTGGTGTTTGTGCTTGCTGAATCCAAAGAGAAACTACACTGTATGAGCCTTATCCCCTTGGCTTTGCAAAGTAAGGACTGTACATTATCAACTCTGTACACATTAGAATAGAAATGGCTACATTTCCCATACATATGACATCATCTGGCTGGCTTCTGCCTGAGCAGGGGCAGGCGGAGGGTCTCCCAAAATGTTAGGGTGAAGTTGTTCCTCCCTCTTGCTAGGTACAACACGTACATGGCAGTATCTGTAAGCAAGCTGGCTCATGTCTGGGTGGAGGCAAGGCAGGGCAAGGAGGATCCACTGCTTCACAGTGGTTTCAACAGGGCTAGTGTAAGTACCTGTAGGGAAAGACACACATGAGGGCATATGAAGATTCCTAGTACCACATTCCAACAGGGACATCAAGTACTAGCAATGAGAGGCAGGCAGGCAAGGAAACACCCTGCACTGGAGCACCTTCCAAAACATGAAGATATGGGAAGAAAGCACATCTATGTTGAGTTGGCAGCAACAGACTGGGTTCCTTGCGATGCCAGTTCCTTCTCTTCTCCATCTTCCCTGCAACTGTTGGTTCACTAAGCATCCAGAGTGTTCAACTGTTGGTTCTGAGCCTGCCGGCAGAGTGACCCTCGAAGCTGATGAGAGCGGCGGAGGCGGCGAGGGGGCAGTCCAGCTATCTGGCGGCAAATTTCCTCTACAAGCAAACAGATTTTTTTTAAAAAAACTGTTCAGTATAGCTTACATGTGCAATAGAGTTTGCAGGTATCTTTTTAGACAGGCAGAGGATTAAGTCCAGTTATAACAGAATGGGATATTTGCTAGTTAACATCTCATCCCATGCATAGGAGGACCAGCCCCTCTTGCCATTCAAGGTGAAAAGAGAAACTACACGACATGTCTCACATGAGGGCAGTGGAGGAGGAGGAGTTGCCCCTCCATATCACAGAGGTGGTAGTGGCGGCAGCAGCAGTAATGCCCTCTCACACTACAGCAGCAGCATCACAAAAGCCTGGCTGACAAGAGGATTCTAGGACCTGTAATCCCCAAAGATAACTGTTCCAAGCTGTAGTTTCATATGTATTGATTCTTAAATCTGCCCTGTCTTGTTTCTGCTGCATGTTTCTGCTGCATGTTGCAGAAGAATTAACAGTGTTTGTATTATTTCATTCCTCCACCACCACCCCAGAATATACATTTTTGTACACATTTCAGTTTTTAAAATGCATTATTATTTTCTAAAAAGTATATGCCTTTTAAAAAATTCCCTGAGGATCCTTAACACCATATGTAGGAGGTGCTCTTTGAAAAGTCATCCTCCTGAAGAATAAAATAACAGTGAACACCCCAGTATATTTGAGAGTTCTATTTGCTAGAGTATATCATCAAATAACCTCATAGGAACAAAGCCTATGAGGTCGGGAGTAGTTGAAAATATATTGGCATCTCCAGGAGGATAGATAGTATAAGGGAAAGAAGAAATGTGAAAAGGTAAAAGAAAGTTCCTTTGGGTTAATCATTCTACCCTTCAAAAGGGAAAGAAAAGGGAAAATTCAAGACTGAAAGGTAGATTTTTAATATATTTTTATATTTTTTAAATAAAGGTAAAGGATATGAAAATAAGAAAGGGCAGAAAGTTTTTAGTACTGTATTATTATTTTCATGAGTAGAATATCCTAGGAGATTGGAGGTTTAAATAAAATATAACTATTGTGGAAATTATTGCAGATTAAATTAGGCATCCTTCAGTCTTGAGAGACTATGGTAACGTCCTCTGAATGGAGGACTTGGAACAGCGTCTAGTGTGGCTGAGAAAGCCAATTTGAGAGTGACCATCCCTTCCACACTGAAGACAGTCTGTCCCCTTTTCAATCTCCCTGATTTTGGTGGTTTTGGGACTGCCTCTTTGCCTCGGCCTGCTGAACAAGTGTCTCTTCAAATTGGGAGAGGCCATGCTGCACCGCCTGCCTCCAGGCTGAACGCTCAGATGACAGGTTTTCCCATATGTTGAGATCCATTCCCAAGGTGATTTCCCTGCACTAATTCTCCATACAGGACATCTTTGGAATCCAACCATCAGCCATTCTCATCACATGCCCGAGCCAATGTAGACTTTGCTGTTTCAGTAATACTATATATACATGCTAAAAATTCCAGCTCGTTCTAGGACTACTCTATTTGGAACTTTGTCCTGCCAGGTGATACCAAAAATGTGTCGGAGGCAGCACATATGGAATCTGTTCAGCTTCCTCTCCTGCCATGCACAAAGGGTCCAGGACTCATTGTAGTGCAGGAGTGTGTTCAAGACACAGGCTCTATAGACCTGGATCTTGGTATATGCCATCAATTTCTTATTAAGCCATACTCTCTTTGTGAGTCCAGATAACATGGTGGCTGCTTTGCCAATGCATTTATCCAGCTTGACATCTAGGCAGAGGGTGTCAGAGATCGTTGAGCCAAGGTACACAAAGTCATGAACAACCTGCAATTCTTGCGTGGAGATAGTAATAGAGGGAGGTGAGTCCATGCCCTTGTCCATGACTTGTGTTTTCTTCAGGCTGATTGTTAGTCCAAAGTCTTGGCAGGCCTTGCTAAAACAGTTCATGAGTTGTTGGAGGTCTTCAGCAGAATGGGCAACAATGGTTGCATCATCGGTGAAGAAGAAGTCCCACATGCATTTCAGTTGGACTTTGGACTTTGCTCTCAATCTAGAGAGATTAAAGAGCGTTCCATCTGATCTAGTCCGGAGATAGACACCTTCTGTTGCAGTTCCAAAGGCATGTTTCAGCATGACAGCAAAAGAGATCCCAAACAGAGTCGGCGCAAGGACACAGCCCTGTTTCACTCCACTTCAGATGTCAATGGGATCTGATGTTGAGCCATTAAAAAGTACTGTGCCCTTCATGTCCTCATGAAACGACCTGATGATTTTAAGGAATCGAGGTGGACATCCAATCTTGGGAAGTATTTTTAAAAGGCTGTCCCTGCTAATGAAATCAAAGACCTTTTTGCAAATTGTTAGAATTTATGAAGAGAGGTAGGGTGATCAGCAGAGTAGAATGAAGGAAGATAAGATGGGAATCTTGCCCATATAATTTAGAATAGAGGGGAAAGGAGGGGGAGTTTACATAAAAGGGGATGGCTATGTGTATTTTTAAAGGGGGATTGTTATTAGAAGAATAATGTTTGAATAGATCAAAAGTAAGGTAAAGGTAAAGGTTCCCATTGACATTTAGTCCAGTCGTGTCTGACTCTAGGACACGATGCTCATTCCCGTTTCTAAGCCATAGAGCCCGCGTTTGCCGTAGACAGTTTCTGTGGTCATGTGGCCAGCGCGACTAGACACAGAACGTTGTTACCTTCCCACTGAGGTGGTACCTATTTATCTACTTGCATTTTTACATGCTTTCAAATTATTAGGTTGGCAGGAGCTGGGACAAGCGACGGGAGCTCACTCCGTCACGTGGATTCGATTTTATGAATGCTGGTCTTCTGACCTTGCAGCACAGAGACTTCTGTGGTTTAACCTGCAGTGCCACCACATCCTTTATTAGAAAAATAATGTTTGAAGAGATCAGAAGTAGGGTAGTAGCAAATATTGATTAGAGGATGTGGAACTTTGGGTGATTGCTGGTCAAGATGATGGTTGATCCCTCCTCCCAAGGATTTGGAATCAAGCTGAGGTTGGGTTATTAAACTGTCAGTGGAAGAAAGAGTAAGATATTTAAGTGGTTATGTGGGGATGCGGGATTAAATTGTGTAAATTTGTGGTTTTTAGGTTTTGTCTTCAGTGGTATTTGGGGTAGATGAGCACTATATTGGACCAGTAAGTCAATCTGGTGTTGGATGAATATTGTTAAAGATTTAAGAATTGTTTAGACCTCATCTTCAGTACTGTGTCCTGTTCTGGACACCACATTTTAAAAAGGATGCCAACAAACTGGAACAAGTTCAGAGGAGAGCAACAAAGATGATCAGGGGACTGGAAGCCAAGCCCTTGAAAGAAAGAATGAAAGAACTGTGCATGTTTAGCCTTGAGAAAACAAGATTGAGGGGAGATATGATAGCACTTTTCAAATACTTGAAAGGTAGTCGTACAGAGGAGCAGGATCTGTTCTTGATCATCCCAGAGTGTAGGACACGTAATAATGGGTGCAAGCTGCAGGAAGCCAGATTCCAGAATATGAGGAAAAACTTCTTAACTGTCAGAGCAGTATGACAATGGAACTAATTACCTTGGAAGGTGGTGAGCACTGCAACCATGGAGAAAATTGGACATCCATCTGTCAGATCTGCTTTCATTTGGATTCCTGTACTGACCATGGGGTTAGACTTGATGGCCTTATAGGCTCTCCCAACTCAATTATTCTATGATTCTATGTTATTTATTTGGAATATGTAAAGGGAAATATTTATTCCATTAATCTCTGCATTATAGCCAGTTGTAGAACTGGAGAATTTCCCAGGTAGTTTGAAATTAAATTTGCAGAATTTATTAAGGAAGAAACAAATTATTAAGTTAAAAGACTGGCTGGAAAAACTGATTAATACAGAACAAATAATAGCTGTATTAGGATCGGAAAGAATATGCTGATTTAATCTTATTCAGTTAGATCAATGGACTAAAGATTGGGTAAAAAAAAGAAATGGTAATTGTAAGGATCTTACAAAATTTGAAGAAATTGCAGCACAGAAGGAAAATGGAGATGAAAATAAGATAATGAAAATGAAGAGCCCAGATCTGTCTCAATCAGCAACTAACAAAATTTTAATATTGCTCCTTTTTAAAAAAGAGATTATTTCAGTGACTGGAGCATCTTGTGGCTAACTCGATATCAAACAAGCAATTTTATCAGATCAGCTGACATTAGGAGGCAGGCCAGAAGATTCCTCGCCCCCTTTGAAGATCTCCACTCTCTAGCTGAAATAAATAAAGGAAGTTCAGTAGGTTTCAACTGTATCAATATATAAAGGATCTATATCAATGTCCTGTGAGGATGATGGCTGTGATAAGAAATGTACTTTTCTTCCAACACCTCAGGCTGTACTTTTAGGAATAGCTTCAATAGTATTTTGCTAAAACAAAACAAAAAAACCATATTTGAGATATAAGAAGAAGAGCCGGTATACAGCCTTCTGTATACTGGGAGTTTTATGGATCTTCTGGGAGTTTTAGAGGTCCCTCTGGGGAATGCACACAAATGCACCTTCTGCACAGCAGGCACAGTAGCGACCAATGTGTTTAAGGAGTGAAAACTCAATGTTACTTAGGATGCTGTTTCTGTATTACCTTTTTGACAAAATAAAATATATCTAATCTTAACATGTTAAAATTAACATATATTTCTAAGGTAGAAATCTCTTGAGCACACAGCCTTTTCTGCTGGGCTTTGACAGGAAATCTCTCTTAACATCTTTACTCACCTTGCATGGCTTCATCCTCTTTGCAAACAATGCGAGAGCATATTTCCTTGTTTATCATATATGTTCGACGGACACTGTCATTAGGAACAATTGGGAAAAGGGAAGAAACAAATATTCATAAGAACCCAAAGCAAAGTAGACAAATAACTGCAGATAAATAATTGATAATAAAGATGCAAAACTAAAAGCTGTAAATAGATATGTGTACCTTAAACCAAGCAGAAGAGAAGCTAGGGTGTGAGTTAGCAAATCAGTCCAGAGACAGGGAAGGGTAAGGAGAGTAGTTAAAAGCTGGAACAGAAGTGCTACTTCTTAATAAAAAGACACAAAACAACCCCAGAAACCATGGGCCTGAGTTCCATGTTGTGAAAATGGCCCGTGAACAGCAGCTTCAGAGTTGGTGACACCAACTAATTCATCAGTCATTAATGACTGGGTGGCAGCAAAATATCAAACCACCAACCTTCCATAGTAAACACAATCCACACACAGAAATACAGATTGTGACTGTATGCTTTCCCAGTGGTAAAACTGTCCAGTATTAGTGGCCTTGATTTAATAAGGGGAACAATTTCAGTTGGGTCAACAGTTACAATAAATAAACATAATAAGAACCATCTGCTAGATCATGTGACTAGATGGGGTTTTACAATCTCCTGGAACTATAATCTAGTACCCATTATGCCCCCAAATCTGTGTTTTAGAAAACAGCTTGAAGCAGTCATTCCTGAGCAGGAGATGCAGCCTCACTTACCAGCCACCATACAGGGCTCAACAGCATTTACTGAAAAAGCCACAAACTAGCCAAAGGTACTACAGTACATTTCTGGTATCTCTTCTTGGCCAAAGTCCTACATTTCAAAAAGCACCATGGAACTGGAATTCATGAATAGGCTGTACCTAACATACTTCAATCACAAGTAGCTGCAAAAAAGATCTACAAGAACCGCACGAGGGTCCTTTTTTCTGGGCTGAATGTATAAAGCATCTCAAAATAACAGTTTATGGGAAGGCCAAGGGAAGTATATTCCTCAGTCAAACACAATTGAGTGGGACAATGCAAGAAGTTACAGAACATCCACAGGTACCTCTTCCAGTCTCCTCTGGTGTGATGGAACAAGTGAATTATGTTGGGTTGCCCTACTTGGAAGTCACTGTTCTAGGCTGTTCTCCACCCCCATTCTGAGCCATTCAATTCAATTCTGGCAGGTTTGGGGGTAATAAAGGGTTAACGAAACCCATTGGGTTTGAGGTCTAAAATATTGTTTGGATGTTTGTCCAGCTCTTCCCCATGTTTTTGGCATTATTTTTATTAAGGAGGACACATTCCGTTCCATTTCATCTTTTACCTAGTCCCTGAAGTTGAGAATCTGGAACTTCTCGTCCTCCTCTCCATCCATTAGATCTAATCTTTTCTGAGATCTGTACAACTTTGGCTTATTTATGATGAAGAACAGGCAGATGAGAGTAGGAACAGACACGTCTAGTGTGTCTTTCCAAAAGGAATCTGCCCTGGATCCATATTACAGATGCTCTCAGGAACTGAGAATATGGGATACTTCATCTTCATTGGATGATTCTTTTTTTAAAATGTGGTGGGCAATTAGAGGAGATAGCAGTGAGATGCCAGATCACCACGTAGGGACATGGCTACTGGAAATTACAGGACACTAAATTGATCTCAGCCACTGTGGGGAAGGAGGAGACAGCAAAGTGGGGCTGTAAATTCACTTACACGGGGCTTGTCCAGGCTGGCCATTTTGATGCAGGCTGGATTGAGCTACAAAGGGTCATTTGAGGTTGTGAGGAGAAGTGATGTGCCATTTAACACACTCCTCTGGAGGTACCCATGGACATCACAGCTCAGGGAAATGACACAGGGACACCTACAGCCCCACATTCCCTCAGGCCTGAGCATCTTTTCTTCTCCCTCCCCCTCCCTCTCCCCCTTTCCATCCCTGCATGGCACCTTCATTTCAGGTCCAGATGCTTCTTTTCAGCTACTCCCTTCCTCCCTGAGTGAGCCACCTTCCAATGTGATGAATCACTTTGTTGTGGTTTCAATTGGCAATATATAACTCAGGTGTCCAGCTAAACAACAAGGAATTCTGCCAAAAAGAATGCATGCCCTGCTGCTCTACCAGAAAGGTGTGTGACAGCTCTTAAAGGGGAAGATTGGATCAATCTAAGTAGAAACACTTGCAGATTAGGTATTTTTTATTTAAAAATCCAAACTGTGCCATCAGCAATCCATATACCAATCTGTATATCCGTGTGCCAGTGTGGGGCCCAGAAAAGTCTAGTTATTCCCCCCAGGCATGAAGGCACCTTCTCTGTTGATAGGTGGCTGCTTACAACTCTACCTTCTCATTCCTTTAATTCCTTTCTGATTCTGAAGGTGAAGGGACATCACCTACCTGTCCCACCAGCATTTCTGCTATAGATGAGTCTCACATAACTCCTTTTGAGTTTCTGGGGAGGTTTCTGGGGAAGAACTGGAATCCAGGGGGTCCCAAGTGATCTTCAAATTTCACAACACCCATGTCTTTCTCTGAGGAATAGTCATCGATGTTTGGCCTGTGTCAGGCATGACATCCAGACAACATATGGAGAATTTGGGAAGCTGTAGTCCAAAAGGCAATGTTTCCAAGTTCTGTGAACAGGTATCTTTAAGTTGAGCAAACATTGGTTTGAAACCTCATGGAAGGAAAGCTGGATAAGCTTGAAATGGGCAAATTTTGAATTAAAAAGCAGCAGATAAGGAAAGAGTTAAATCTCCCCTTCCTCTCTTTTCCTTTTTCAAAGATCTCTTTTCAACTTGAACAAAAGGAGGAACCATGAGGACTTTATTTTATATCTCTGCATTGTAATATATAGTTGGATCCAAATATTTTGAGCTCTTGCAAACAGGGGTTGTTTCGCAGCTATTTTAGCTGAACAATATTCTGCGCTTACTTCTTTTCCATTTGCAGACCGTACTGAGTATTTTGCGATGTGTTTAACTTTTTGGCGTTTGCAAAGGTCTGAAAAGCTAGTAGGCGGTAAACGAATCCTAATCTAATTTAACCACAGAATATGGCATGTCCTAGAAAATAATCTTGATTTTCCCTCACTTACGTGGTAATGCACAGGTAACTGATGCACTGTTTCACAGGCTTGTGAACAGAGTATAAACGTGTGCAAGGAAATTGCTCTTCACGGCATTCTGGAAAGAAAAAGGTACAAGTTCATACTACTTGGTGATATAAATAAATCAGCTGAATGGAGACTCGCCGTAGCTAGTTGCCAGGGCCTCATTAAACCCAGATGAGAAATTTTCTATGCGGTGTACTTAACAGAAAGTAGGACTCACTTACAATAATTTCTCTGGTTTCCTGTTTCACTTTGACATTTCATCCCAGACATTTCATCCCATTAGTATTCTGCCTCTTCTGCAAAGTACTGTACTTCAACTGAACAAAACCGACACCCAAAATTGTATTTGGCAATCAAGCGTTGACTGCTAGAATATTAATTTTGTTGTTAAAGAAGAATTTACAACCTAATACTTAAGTCAGATCTACACTGTGGAGACACTGGCAGTAGATCATGGGCAATATTTTCCACTGGAGGCTAGCTGTAAAATATGCCAGAAGACCTGATTAATTAACTGCTGAGCTGGCAGTGACAGGCCTGGAAAGCGACTTCAAGGAAAACGACAAGCCAGAATGGGCTGCAGTGAAAAGATCAAATTCCAAGTTGCTAAGGACAATTAAGAAAGGGGTTGAGAATAAAATAGCAGTTTTATAGTGTGTTATGTCTATGCAACAGTGAAACAACGGTGTTTGTTTGCAATAAGGTGTACCGTTTTGATGGCCAAACCACAATAATACTGCAGAATTTCAGATGCAGGGAACTAAGACAGCTTTGACACAAAATTGTATTTGGTCAGGCCAGCAGTTCCCAAAATTTTTTCAGCACCATGAACCATCACTCAACCCTTTTTAACAAAAAGCTCAATTTTTATTTTCATTCGTTCATTCATTGCTACAAATGACATGCTGGTGGTATTCAGTGGCAGCACAAGATTTGGTGCCTGGACCCAAGTATGTTGAATGAATAATAAGGCATAAAGTAGTCTGTGCCTTGCTTGGAAAAGTAATAAGCTGACTTAGTAGATCAGCCCAAGAGGGCACACACTTTAGACCTGGTTTTCTGTACCAGAGGGAGGTGCTGGTGATCCAAGAATGGAAAAATTTTCTGTGGTTCTGTTATGTAGTTCGGTGGAGAGATCACTACCTGTAGTGTTTAGACTTTCGGGAACTGGGAGTCTCTGCAGAGGTAGGGAATCTTTTTCAGTAGTCCACCCCAGTAGACTGATGCAGACTGATGAGTTCCTTTACCTTGGCAGGGGGTGCTGTTGAAGCACTGAATGAACTTGGGAATGGGGAGATGTTCACGGCAGTAGACATAATCACACCTAAGTGCCCCTCCCACAGAATAGCCCCCTAGTTCCCTGTGGCTCTGGGGTGATGCAACAAGTGGACTGGAGCAACGATGGCCAAAAACTCAGAACGAATCCTACTGAATGTGGGCTAGAGCCCATTGGGGGGCCTACGCTGTGGCAGTGGGAGGTGGCAGAAAAGACGTCATTTTTCTCTGCCACGATTGCGTTTACACAGAGTCATCCAGGGGAGCTCTTCCGAGAGGTCAAGGGTCTACTATGTGCTGCCCCCAAGAAGAGAGCGCAGACCACTCGTTATCCCACTGAGAATCTCCATGACATTTTGCAGGCAACATTGCTTTAAACTGCTCAGACTTGGATACTATAATTGACGCCAGTCTCCTGAATATCATTTTAGCCTTTATTTGTCCTTTGTTAATGGATATGTTTGTTCTTGCAGCCTAAGGGTGTGGACAAGACCCTTGGAGAAGTCAGAGGTACCACATTTGTGTTGGACCCTTGTTCTTTTTGACTTATGAAAGCCACAAATGGGCTGTCTTAGTCTCAACCCTTCCACCCATCTTCTCATTATAAATTTTCTGGTAATTAAGAAAAAAAATCTGAATGTTGTGTGCCATTAACTCACTTCTGTTGTGTAGTGACTACATTAATTAATGACCACCAAAATGCCATATTATTAACAGCTCTGCTCAGATCTTGCAACGAGGCTGGGTTGTTCTCTCTCCCTACAGCCCTCCCTTCCTAGCAATATTTTCTTTTCTATTAAATTCTGTTCAGGTCTTGCAAACTAATAGCTGTGGCTTCCTTCTGAATTTTGTGTTTTGGAAGCGGGTAACGGGGTGGGCCAGGTGGAATCACAGAGTAACTGACAAATCTTTTGGTCTTAAAAATGGGGTGTAAAATTCCAACCATGCTGCAAGGGATGGTGTTTAAACACACCCACACACCAGATGACATTTGCAACATGAATCTGAAATCACCTCTCCAAACAGACTTGGCACAGAAATCTACCATCAATTTTTGGAATCTTTTCAACATTTTTTCTGTACTGTCCATGATGCTTAGCCTGATGAAGTGAAATCTTCTTCACAAGAGCTTGTAATTTGTTTGATTTTTTTTTTAGTGGTCCAACAAAAACCAAGAAAGGTATTACCCATTCTTACATTTGTAGTTTTAGAAGAGGCATCCACGCTAGTCTGTGCCAGCATGTCAGGCAAAACAAAACAAAAATAAGAAAATAAAGAGGACAAAAATATTATAGTACCTTGAAGACCACTCACTATATTTTAATGTGAGCTTTTGTGGACAAGTCCACTTCTTCAGACATCAGAGTGGAACTGAGTGGCAAATATTTATACAGTTATACATGACCCCAAAACAAAGAGGCATCTGAGACTTGCCACTCAGTGGAGAAGAAAAATTGAAGTAAAAGAATCCAGAGAGAAAGAGAGAGAGCTGAGATAAAATATAAACATATGTTTAGCACCCATCTTAATGGACTCAATATAAGCCAAGGATTCTAAGAACGTTATCAAATAAAAAATGCTGTATTTGCTGTAATTAATATAGCCAAGGCTCAAATGACTGAATATATGCCATCTCAATGGACTCATTATAAGCCAAAGATTCCTTGGCCACTACCAAATGCTGCATCTGCTGTAATTCCCACATAATTTCCTTACTAACTATTCAGTGCCATCTCACCAGCCCCATCAGAGATTATGATACTTATTACCATGTTGTTCCCCTTTGTTATACAGTGGACCCTTGACTTACAGACGGCTCGACTTGCAGACTTTTCGAGTTACAGACTTCTCTGGCTGCAAAATTTAGATTCGACTTGCAGCCAGAGAATCAACTTACAGACCAGAAAAAAACCAAAATGGAATAAAAATAGAATAAAAACCACTGGTTATGGGATTAATCGGTTTTCAGTGCATTGTAGGTCAATGGAGATTCGACTTACAGACTTTTCGACTTGCAGCCACCATTCCAATACGGATTAATTCCTTAAGTAGAGGGTCCACTGTATTTAAATGTAAAGGTTCCCCTTGACATTTAGTCCAGTCATGTCTGACTCTAGGGCATGGTGCTCATTGGCGTGCCAAGCCATAGAGTCAGTGTTTGTCCAAATACAGTTTCCATGGTCACGTGGGGCAGCACAACTGGACATGGAATCATATTACCTTCCCAGTGAGGTGCTTTCTATTTATCTACTCACATTTTGTATGCTTTTGAACTGCTAGGTTGGCAGGAGCTGGTACAAGCAACGGGAGCTCACTCTGTTGTGTGGATTCGATCTCTGCTGTGCTGGTCTTCTGACCTCACAGCACAGAGGGTTCTGTGGTTTAACCCACAGCACCACCACATCCCTTTGTTATATGTAGCAAGGGATTAATTAAGCCACTAATCATTGCCATTGTTTAGTGAGCAATACTTCCTGGAGGGGGAACTGAATATCGACAGGCGTTTTAATGCTTGTTGCCAGGTGTGAAATGCCACATCATCAACTATTAGTGCCCAGGAAACAACCAGTCTCTCATGTCTGAGGAACTGGACTTGTTCAAGAAAGCTCACATTAAAATACGGCAGTTTGTCTTTAAGGTGCAATCACTGTTTCTGTCTTATTTATTTTTACAATTTTTGTTTTGTCTTACATTTGTGTAATCTTTAGAACCACATGGCCTTTTACCAATTCTTTTCCAACTAGATTAGGATATTTTCAGGTTTACTAAAAAGCCTGGTAACCATGAGATCCTAAAATGAAAGGGAGCCTTCAATGAAAGTACAGTGGTGCTTCACTTAGCGATGTTAATTCATTCTGAAAAAATTGCTGCTAAGTGATTTCATCGCTAAGCGAAATGCGGTTTCCCATTGAAATGCATTGAAAACCAGATAATCCGTTCCAATAGGAACAGATTGCCGTCCTTAAGCAAAAATCGCCCATAGGGACCATCACTAAATGAAGTGCAAAAACGCTCTGAAAAAGTTGTCGCTAAGCAATTTTGTCGCTAAACGGAGCGCCTGTTAAGCGAGGCACCACTGTAATGTTTTCCCCTGCAGCTCACATCACGTCTTCCATGGTACATGGAGAACTGGGTTACTTGGAAGTTATTTAACTTAATAGGCTGCAAAGCAGAGTTGGCAGAACCAAAGTGTAGCTAAGAATAGAGTTTTGCCCTCTGTGAGTGTAGAGGAGTACAGGCAAATTCACACCTCTGCCATCCCTGACCCTCCCAGATTAAAATCAAGGATCCCACCCCCCAAGTAATCTTTGAATCCTGAACAAACAGCAGAGAATATCAACACTATAATTTGGAAAGAAAGAACTACCTACCTCTTAAAATTTATGGAAGGCCAGGACATTCTAGCCCGCAGTCACCAGCAGAACTGGGCTGCTGAACAGTCTGGGAACAGGATATTACAAACATCCTTTGCTCCTGTATAAGCCTGCTGAAAATGTTTGCTCTTCTGTCGTTTACTATTTTTAAAAGGCTTTAGTTGGTGAGAATGAGGGAAAAGGCATTTTCAATCATGACATCTCGGTCATGAAATATCATATTTTTCCATGCATAACACATCCCCATGTATAAGACACCCACCCCCCACTTTTCTAACCCAAAATTAAGAAACCTAAGCGGGGCTTAGCAAATGGAGGAGAAAAGCAGGGATCAAAGCACTGCAGGATTGCTTTGATCCCTGCTTTCCCCTTGCTTGCTAAGCCCGCTTAGCAAGTGGAGGCAGAAAGCACGGATCAAAGCACTTTGATCCCTGCTTTCCTCCTCCACTTTCTTGCCAAGGAAGTCACTGCCATCCCCTACACTTTCTTGCGGAGAAAGTGGAGGGGGAAAGCACTTTCTCTGCAATAAAGTGGAGGGGAAAAGGCAGGTATCAAAGCCCTTTAATCCCTTCCCCCCTCCTTACTTCCATGTACAAGACAACCCTCAATTTCTAATCTAAAGATTATAGACAAAAGTATCTTATACACGGAAAAATATGGTACTTAGTCCAGAGATTTTGGCCGCCATTGCACTCATTGTTCATCTTTTTGCCACCCATACTGTATTATTGTGAATGTTGTCCATCCATTTCATACTGATGGCCTGGTATTATAATTCTAATGTTGCAGACCCAGTTTTGTCATGTTTAATTTGTCTACCTTGCCTTATCAATGCTACTGTGAGTAAACAGGAATTTTCCTTTAAAAAGTAGGATATGACTTGTTAAATATAAATAAATGAATAAATAAAACATTCCATATTCCAAACAATTGTAAAAGCCATTTAGTGTCTTGAATTGGCAAGGAGTGAATCAAATCTTCAATTAATAAAACCCAGCCGTATGAGGAAATTGATACTGGCCAACTGAGAGAGAATCAATAAGAGTGTAAAGGGACAGATAATAAAAACAAAAACAAAACTTACCAGGGGATGTTGCTGGGCCACTAACATCTAGAATTAAAAATAAGAAATGGTTTGTACATAATAGATTGTTTATTGCCTGCTGTTTCTCTTAAGGTCAGCTGCAGGGTGACATGAGTTTGCTCCTTAGTAAAGCTTGAAGTAAGATTTAATCTGGAGCATCTATGCAGATAGTTGAAATTAATTATCTGCATTTGACATTCAGTGCTGTTTGATTTCACAATAAATGTTTGATGTTTGATAATTGTAATTATTTTATTTAGTAGTGTTCTGTTAGATGGATATTTCAAATTTAGCAGCATGTGATGGCTGACATAGTGGTATTCCGTGTTTGGTGGTCCATGTGAGGTTTCATTATGTTAACCGCTGTCTGTTAGAAATGTTACAGTCAAATGACAGTGACAGATTCTAAACTTTTGAATTTGAATTGTCCTTGAATTGCAGTTTCACTTTTTAACTGCAACATTTACATTCAGGATTGGAAATCCAAAACGTCAGAAAAGGTTCACTCGTGCTCTAAACTGCAATCCTAGCATCGCCAGGCCTTGCCCCGAGCTGAAAAGAATTGTTCTGAGAGCCCGTTAAACTCGGATTGAAGAAGAGGGTGGTGGTATGTCAGGGTATCTCTTCCTACCATTGGGGCAAAAGGTCACAAGGTGCGGCTAAATTAACTTACCTTTCTCATCTCCTGCCGTTTCCCCAGGATCAGCCACATCTAGGCAGAGGAGAAATAATGTTAT